AGCGTCAAAAGAATAATATTACTCTACTTCAAATAACGATCTGCCTTAAGGAATTGTTACTATTATTTTATTGACTATCATTTTTCACCGTTTTCTTTCTTATAATAAATATTCACTGTACTTTTAGATTCTAGATCACTGGATTCCACCATTTACTCCTTATTCTAACATCAGTCTATTGCAAATTACGATAAAACATAATCATATTCATTATGCTCATTAAGTACATCAACACTTGTTTCGTGCAATTAATGCGATTAACGTGTCCGTCTTTTCACCTTTGGATAATTGTTGACTATTTACTTGCTTTCTCAATTCTTCCATTAAGTCTATTGTAGATTTTTCTTCAGTGAGTAATTCGAGAATCATTATTGTCAGAAATGATTCTTTGTAGATTTCATTCTTATCAAATATTGGTTTTTTCATTCTAGCGTTCTTCAGGCACAACTGTATCAAGATGCACAGCCATACTATATGCTAGGTCAGCTCGTTGAGTATTTCCTTGATGAACAATTTATGCTTAACTTCCTTGTAATGAGCAATGCTAAAAATATTTTCCAAAACTTGAAACTTTAAAATTGGCTTCTGAATAGTTTTTGTTACTTTGAAAGATTCATTCAAAAGTTCATCACTTTTCTCATCATAGAATTGTGCTAACTGACTTAATGCTCTCGATTTATAGTAGGAATTGCGCATTGACTGAATTTTTTCAAGTAAAACTTCTTTGATATTTGTTCTATTAGATAATTCAGGAAGCAAATGATCACAAATCTGACGATAGTCTGAGCCTTTTGACATATTTCCGAAGTTTAGTCCGTCGCAGGTCCGGGTCCGGCTCCGGCTCGTGTTTCCTGTTTGTGATATTATAGTGATGCTTCATGAGCTCCTTGCTGGGAAGTAAATAATAGGTTATAATAAAAATAAAATTTTTTTATATCTAATTACTTTTATTCTAATCATCGTAAATTCATTTCTCGTAGAAACTAGTGGGGCCGTTACTGGCTTCGTTGGATACTTTGGAAAGCGCCGTCGATGGAACTTCTGATGGCAACGACCAGAACCAATCATGAGATGGTTTCTAATTGCGATCTGTAAAGAATGAACTTTATTTCGACTTTTATATATTTGTAAGTTTCTTTACTGTTGCTTTTGTGTAGTCTCACTACTCGTTTGCGAAATAAATCGTATACCACGCAAATCCTTTCTTCCAGGTCTTAGTGTTTGACCACATTTCGGAACACAGGCGAGAAATTCCCATCAAAATACCTGAAGGAATGTATAGTTTGCGCCTCTACCCTCGTCGTGGTTCAGGCAATTTCACGAAAAGACTCATATAGTGCATGAAGAAAGTTGAATATGTGAACTACTGGATGTTTTTACCTTTCACTGCAGGTATTTGAAAAGTGAATAGATCTACCAGTTTATCAATATCATCTTTCGCTTGTTCTAATAAGTCATTTAATTTATGTTTTTTGCTTGATTCTGTATCTTTCAACTGGATTAAAACATTTTTTAGTTGATTTTTATTTATATTTGTACCATTTTTATCAACCGATAGCAAATGTTCATGCGCTTGTTTCCATTTCACTTTCCTGTTATTCAACCATTGCTTGTAAACAGAAGCCATCGTTTAGCTGTTATTAGTTCTGCAAAAGAACGATATCTGCAAAAAACGATAAGTGTTTTTAAACCCGTATATTGTTTTGAGCTTAATTTGTTGAACTATCCATATCATTAGAAAATTTAATATACGCCCGTGCTGAACCATTACATAAAAATTTTGCACATAAGATCCAATTTTTATCTAATTTGGTTCAGCGCGGGGAGAGCATCCAATTTTCTAATGATTCTGTGATTCTCAGCCGAGCCAGTTTCGGCTGCAAACGACGGTATAGTAAAGATGCATTATAAGGACAGGATCCCACCCGATACACTCGCTCAATAAACTAACAGTAGTTAGTTTATTGCCCGATTCTATCTGATGAGATGCTGTCGTTATAATGAATAGAGCTGCTAGCAACTATACCGTTGTTTGATCAAATTTCAACAAGAAAACTGGCTCCGATGAGAATTAGAGGATATATGGATAGTTTCTTAACGACAAGAAATTTAAAAATGTTCTACACAAGGATGACTACTCACTTCTGCGGTTCAAACAGTTTTCCTTTAGAACAGTATCTCTAAGTCTTTTATTGCTGTAATAAACATATTACTTACTATAGCTGCAGCGTATACATTAGCTGATAAGAAAGTAACAGATGTTTTTTCTCTTTTTAACAGATCACGTTTTATTATATCTATTAAAAGCAAAAGTGAAGAAACAAAAAGCGTGTAAAACGTCATAAGAAGTTTTCTAAAAAAGTGTAAAAAGCTGTTTTATCTAAAGTTTTCATATTTTAATGATATTCAACCAAAAAAGATTTCAATGATGCTGGTTTGTAGAGAAAACATTGCTGCTTAAAATTGTCTAACTTTGTACAACACTCGGATTAACAATTATGACAGTTTTTCTAAGAGTCCTAAAATTTGTACCGTACACTGATGTTGATGTGGAAATGTTGAGGCAATACCTGGAACCATTCCAAGCTCTCTCTGCAGAGAGAGCTTGGAATGGTTTCAGGTTACACGCTTTTTGTTTCTTCACTTTTGCTTTTAATAGATATAATAAAACGTGATCTGTTAAAAAGAGAAAAAACA